TTACTAATTTAAAAGAATTTTAATTTAGCTTAAACATAATTTCACGAGTTTTCAGAAATATACAAAATTTTTCAATTAATAAATATAATTTGATAAAAATTTTATGAAATATGACTAATTTGCAAAATTTTAAATTTAGTCTGAACATAATTTGCGAATTATGTTCAGACTAAATTTAAAATTTTGCATTTTCTAAACTGTAAGAAACTTCTCGAATAAGAAATAAAAAATGGCAATTTTTGAAGCAATCACTAATTTTTAAATTATTTAATTTATATTAGAAATAATTAGTCTAAGGAACAAAATTTGAAATTAATTAATCATAGCCACGTACCTCTTGATAGTGAAAGTGGCTTCCGCTCACAGAAACCGCGGGAAAATGTTGTTGGATACTGCGACGCAAAAAATCTCCAAAATTGGTGATGACAGTGTTCATCGTGAGACCCGGCACAACTCTCCTCAATTCTCCAATGATGGCACTGTAATTTTCAGCTGATGACCTCGTTAAGGCATATGCCCAAGGAATCGCCTGGAATACGAATTAAAATTAATTTAAAATTTTTGAAACATCTTTAAAATTTTGAGTAATACTTACAAATCCATCTTTTAGGCACAAAAAAGTGAGTGACTCTTTACACCATGTCGTCGAAGGAACGGCAGTGTACGAAATATGAATATAAAAAGTTGTCACATCCGTCAGTACAGTTCTTGCAAAATTCTCGTCCAGAATTACTATGCTTTCGTAGTCTCGGCCTGCGACGCGGTTGTAATTAAGACTTCCCTCAACGTATGTCCGCAAATGACTCATATCATTTTGAATCATGGTGTGCCAAAAGAAAAACATGTTTATTGGAACTTCTCTTGGTCTTCTCAAAATCCTCCAATTAGCCATAGTGCCTCGGATGGAATGAAAGGGTATACCAATCGCTGCATTTCCATGCCTATAATAGAAATAGCTATATAAATATAGTTACTAAAATAGTACAGTTAAACCTTTTTGATTGAGATTTTTTTATACAATTCAATTTCAATATAAATTAGTACTCACAAATTAGCCACCGCATGGAAAATGTCTCGCGAGTTGTTTGGTTGGGTCCTGACGCTTCGAAACAGTTCTCTCCTCAATCTTTGTTCCCCTTCTAATCTCCCGTTTGGTAAATGTGTGTGATTCGCAGTAAGATTAAATGTACCATTTATTCCCATAATTCCTCGCCCAGGGCAACTTGTGCTTCGATTGAGCTGACATTTCAAATATCTGCAAAAATTAATATTATTATAACTAGTCGAACACTCCGCTGAGTATTAAGAAAAAATAATATAAATACATACGAAACTCCATTTCTCCTGTGGTTAATAACGTAAAAATGACCTTCAAAATTTAGCGTTTCTCTGAGCGGTCCTCTGTTATTTTGACGATCGTTCGGCCTGTAAAAAATTAATTTATTGTGCTTCACTAAAAATTAGAACGAATGAATGATACAGAAATATAATTGAGTTTCATATTAAAATTTATTACTTCAGAATAAACAGTAGTTTTAAGTTTCTATTTTTTAATAAGAAAATTTACTAACATGTTAGCATTGTCAGGCCGATTATTTTGATTGTCGACACCGTTGGCCTCACCTTCTTCCATTTCTGATTTTTTCTGTAATAAAATAATAAATTTGGTACTAAACTTTGAAGGCCTTTATAAGGTCAATGTGATTTCATGTAAGTCATATTAAAAAGAAATTAATCTATATAAATAAAATTAGACTTTTGTCTGTACATTGCTCCAAATCGAAAAATTTATGTTATTTTTCGTTTCAAATAGCAAGGATTCCAAAAATACTATTAAAAAAAAATTCTTCATGTCTGTCTGTCTGTCTGTCTGCGGACTTTGTGCGCGTATTACGCAAAGACGGCTTGATTAAATCCAGTTCATCAATATTTATCAAATTGACCAGTTTTTTTATTTTTTATTCCCATTTTTTTATTTAAAAATTAATGTTTTTTATAAATGGCTATTTTTAACAATATTATAATTAAAAATTCTAAAAAAAATTAATAATTAATAATTGTGTAAAATGTTTTATATATTTTAAAAAAATCAGAAATTAGAGGTTATCTATTTTCAATTTTAAAAAAATTAATTTTTAATTTTAAACAATGCATCAAAAATACTGAAATTAAAAATTTTGAGCTGCAAATTAGTTTTGAGTAACTAAACAAATTTTCTATAAAATTACGAATTGGTTTTGAAGAATTGAATAATGAGTAAATAAAATAAAATATACCTATAATCAAATAATGAATTCAATAAGAAATAATATTAAATAATTAAATAATTTAAAAAAGATTTTAGCACAATGTTCTTTATTTTCGTTGAATTCAATGCAAAAAATAGGGAATAAAAATTAAGCAGTTATAGTTGCCCGTTTGTAATAAATAACTAAATAAAATGATTTTTTCTTAAATTTTAATTAATTTCTTTGTACAGCTGAAAATCTCAACTAAATCTTCTCATAAAATAATATATAATGCGATACTATAAAAATGGACATTAGGCAAAAAAATTTTTTGCCCAGTTGATAAATGAACATTATTCCAAAAAAAACAGGAATTTTTGAATTTAAATATTGTGTTTGAAAATTAAAAAAAATTTCTTTTCCATTATATTATTTACTAATATAAAAATAAGTTTTAAATTATGGCAATTATATTATTTACAATAACAATTAAGTACTTACTCAATACTTAATAATCTACATTTTTATAAGTTATTCAGAATTTAATTTCAAAATAGCTTTTTTAAAAATATTTTATTGTTTTAAATACGGTTCGAAAAGTTTCTCTGATATTTAAAAAGCAATCGTATTGTTAAAAAAAAACAAATTTTTACTTCACATCTTTTGGTTGAAAAATTTATGAAATTTTTAGAAAATAAAAAAGTTTTTATTACATTATTATTATTATTATATTTATTAATATTATAATGGTAATTTTTTAATTCGTATTAATAATAATTATTTAATAATTAATTATCTGAATTAATTAAATAATTTTTGCTAATTAATTTTAAACATCGTGTTAAAATTTTTTTTATTCCAAAAGCAAATCATATTTCCTGAGAAAAAATTTTCTGTTTTTATGTCATGTATTTTCTCTTCAACAATAAAATTTAAAAAATTGAAATTCGTTCTGCGTTTTCTCAAATGGAAGAACTAGAAGAACTCGAAATATCTAAAAGTATGAGGAACAATCATATGATTAGCTAACTGGAAATAGGACGCGGATAGTATATTATATATTATATATATATATATATATATATATATATATATATATTACACACTAACAAATCTGAACTGAATTTTACATCGAGCGTCTAGATAAATTTTCATCGATGGTCGTTGCTCATGTTTTGAACAAATTACAATTAGTCTCCCATCATTTTTTACATACCAATAACTGCTTTTAGTTACTCGTTATTCTTAATATTATGCTTTAAAAATTCTCTAAATTAACCAATTTGAAGTTATTAATATAAAAATTTAAATTTAAAAGCAATTCAATTTCTTTAAAGCAGTTTTATAGACTTGAACATTAACCGAAATTTTTTGTTGATATTCGAAACAGAAGATCTTATTATTTTAAAGACGCAAATCTTCGTTATCAGTTATTGTGATTGTATAAATTTCGAAAAAATCTTACAGAATAAAAAGAGTTTTTTATCATATAGTTCAAAATAAAAATAATCTTGATTTGAATCATGTTGTTTTTCTAGAAAAAAAAGGTTAATTCTACTGCACTCGGATTGTACTATTGAAAAGGCTTGGGTTCTCTGTGAGTCACCTTGACACAAGGTCAAGAAAACAAACAAGACCCTCTAAAGTTGAATATATTTCTTCTCAATTCAAGAACAAACATGTTTTTTTCGTACTTAGAAATTTTAATTAAAACTATTGGAAAAAAGAAGTGCTAGTCTACATTGTAGAACAAAAATTTTCATTTTCCTGAATACAAAATATGTATGTTTAGAAAAAAGTGAATTCATTGAAAATCATTCATTGTTCCTAAAAGCACCAAAGACTGATTTCTGTGACCTGCTTTTTTTATATATTTTTCTTTAAAAATTTTCTACATTGGTAATATGTACTGTATTCAAAATTTAATTTTTCATTTCTTTTTCTTTAGTGTTTTTAACGGGATAGAACATTAAATTAAATTTTTCTTTGATACTGAAAAAACAAAATCTTACTTTAAAACAAACAGAAATTTTTCATTTTAATTGTCTTTGTTGAAAATATGAAGAATCATTTCATTAAATAATTAAAAATAAAAAAAATTATTGCCTTTCGCACAATAATACTTCTTCTCTTACGAAAAACACAGAATTACTGCCTGTTAGTATATTCAACACGTGGTCAATAGGCACAATTATTTTTCAGAAGCAGTGAATAAAAACATAATACGAAATTTTATCTTAATTAATAAATAATTGTTATTACATATTTTTATTATGAAAAAACTCAAAACCTGAACTCCTACCTTTTAAAAAATACAGCACGTGGTCATCTATCACAGGCGATACTCTACGAATGCATCTCTTATCGAGTCGAATAAAATAAACCGTAATAATTTAATCTACTATGAGTAAAGAAGCACTTCTAATTTCTAATTTTGTTTCTATCACTCGAAAACCGGAAAAAATGTCACTCAACTTTGATTTTCACACGCGGCCTGATGCAAGGAAACAATGGTGATCCGAACTAGGAGAATGTCCTTCTAAAAATGAAGTAAAACAGAATAGGGGGTAAAAAAACGTGTTGGTGGCGCTATTAACATACGATCGTACTAAATTACATTAATTTTGATTGGCGGACAAGTGATATATTTTTGCGCGAATTTGAAAAGCGACGCATTAAGTTTAATTCGATCACGTGATGCAGTTTGCATCGCCAACTCTCTCCCATATGTCCTCCCCTACCTAGGTTGTTCTGGATTGGAGGAAATTGATCACATGGTAGGCCAGTGTTTCACACACAGATACCATACTTGAGTGTCAAACTCTTTCATCCTAGGTGGACCGTATATTTTGAGTTTTCATCGGTACAGATCAACGGCAACATACGGTTAATTGTATTTTAATAGCGAATTGTTTCCTTGCATCTGCCCGCGTGTGAAAATCATAGTTTAAATATTTTTTTCCGGTTTTTGAGTGACAAACGAAAACAAAAGTGTTTCTTTACTTATATTAGATTAAATTACTACGGTTTGATTTATATTCCATTCGAGAGATGTATTCGTAGAGTATCGTACTAGATGACAACGTGTAGTATTTTCTTAAAGGTAGGAATTCAGGTTTTAACTTGTTTTTCATAACAAAAATATATAATAGGTAGTAATTGAATTATACTTAACTAATAAATTTAGAATTTTTCGAATTACCTAATATTAAAAATAATTATTTTTAACGTCTTGTGAATTTTTCGACTTTCAATGTAATCATAATAATTTTCTAAAATTATAAAATCGACAAAATTTTTTTTTTAGTTATTAAAAACTTAATTTTTTATTTTTCTTATTAAATGAAAACATTTTTTTTTGAGACCCTGTTAACCAATTAAGAATTAAAAAGGACTATCGATTTTTGTAATGATGAACAACAATAATTTAGCCGAGTTACAATTTCACTGATCACCCTCTTAACAAGTTTTTGTCTGCATAGCAGAATGCTTTTCTTTCTTGGAACAATTTTTTTTATAAATTGTTTTGAAAAATAAAAAAATTGATATTCTTAAAAACATCATTTTTTTAAATTCTGAAAATGGTTTTTGTTGTTACTTGATAACAAAACGAACTTTTTTCAACATTTTTGATGTACGTTAAAATGCCTCGAAAGTCGCTAGAATTTTTATTTTCAAAAAAATGATAATTACATTTATAAAATTATACCATATTAGCATAATAATAATAATTTAATTCTTGACAATTTTTTCATAGTAGTAAGATTCATATAATTAGATATTTTAAAAATATTTCAATATTTTTAAATTATTATAATTAGCCATTATTACCAGAACACTTATCGGTTTATAATGTATTTCAAAAGAATGATATAATTTTTTAGTTGTTACATTTTTACGGAATCGATGTCCATAATTTTTTGAGTAAAAAATTGTGTAATTTAATATTTCAAAAAACACTTTTGTCAATTGATAAATAAATAAAAATTGTTTGGTTTCATAGATAATATCGTAATCAGTATGGCGAATAGGGAAGGAGGAAATACGAGATTTTTTAATGGAGTAGTATTTAACAATTATAAATACTCCATTAACAGCCGCCAAAATAATGTAATGTAGGTATAATTTTATATTTATTTATTTAAGGGAGTTGTTTTTCAAATTATATCACATTATTTTATACCACGTTTATATTTTAAATATATGTTGTCTTTTTATAAAATTTTAGCTACTACGTTTGCAGCCATTATCAGAGTGGCACTTGCCGGGCACGTGGCGTATTAAAAAATAATGTATTTAATTTAATAACTGGACACAGTCATGGCCCTAATGTTCGCAAAGTAATGGAGGAAGCTTTAAAAAGAGACCTGTATCGCCACGTAACAAGAAGCACTACTCATTACCGTAAAATTTACGATTCTGTTCGTCCAGAGTAAGTACAGAAAAAATTTGGTTAAATAATTTTTCTAATGATTTTATCTATTTTACATACATAAAAAAGTGATATATATGCTGATTATATATCATTTCATGTAGGTTGAATTTTGGACAAATAAAAAGACATGTATTGTTTAGTTTTGTGAAAAAAATCTTTCGGTTGAGTTACGAGAATTTGAAAATTTTAGGTAAAAAGTGACTTTGAAGCAAAAAGGCTGACCAATTTCATTCCAATCATTCAAGTTAATTAAAAAATCAATATTTTTTAATTCTCCTTCTTGTTTCTTGTAGTGATTTTGTAGCTCTTTCTTTGCAAACTTGAAAATTTTAAACATTTTGAAAATTAACAAAATGACGGCCAGTTTTTGAAAAATCAAAAAAGTCAATATTTTTAAAAACATCATTATTGAAAAATCTGAAAAATTTTTTGTGGTTAGTAGATAACAAAACAAACTTTTATCAATAGTTTTGATGTGCGCTATAACACCTCAAAAGTTGCTAGAATTTCATTTTGTGTAAATAACATTTCTTTTCAAAATAAAAATTCTAGCGACTTTCGAGGCATTTTAGCGTACATCAAAATTGATGAAAAAAGTTCCTTTTGTTGTCAAGTAGCAATAAAAAAATTTTCAGAATTTAAAAAATGATGTTTTTGAGAAAATCGACTTTCTTATTTTTCAAAAAGTGTCCGACATTTTGTTAATTTTTCAATTTTTTCAAATTTTCAAGGTTTCAAAGAAAGAGCTAAACAAACACTACTATAAAAAAGAAAGATAATGAAAAAATGTAGATTTTTGAAAAAATTATAATGATCCGAAAAAAATGTACATGAATTTGAGTATAATCAACTTTAAAATAAACAATATGAAAAATTTGATGTTAAATTTTTTTTTAAATGTTCAAAATTTATGGTTTTGATAATTAATAGTAATTATACATTCTCATGATAGTCACTTAGATGCATCAGTCTCTGGAACTTTTAGTCGGTTGGAAAACTCAATGTACAAATGGAGACAAGCAAATAATCCGCCCATTGTTCGTACATTACGTTCCTACGTTGAAACGTTAAATAGAAATGAGTGGCAACATTTGTTAAACTATAATGATGGAACAATGAGTATTTCACATGTTGTGGCAGCAGATTCTTCAGAATCAGTCATAATCATGGATCCTAGCTTCGTTAGGAAAATTGCGGTAAACGGTTTCTTTTTTTTGGATGCGACATTCAAGGTAACACCGTCATTGATTGGTGCTCAACAGTTTATGACAATAATGGCAAAGAAGCATAACAAGGTAATTTTTATTTTGTATATTTGGCTGTTTCTATTTCACCCACTCAGGCGAAATAATTCTTATTTCTAATTTCGCCCGTGACGGTAGAAATGGATACGACTGTGTGATGAGGCTATTTCTGTCAAAATAAATTTGTTTTAAGAGGCCGTCGAAATAAGAAAAATAGATTATTTCGCTCGCCTAAGAAAAAATAGAGTATCTAAAAGATGGACAAAATAAGTCCAGTATATTATTTCGCCCGTCAGGTGATAAAACAAAAACAGGCAAAATAACCGAATTACAATATTTCGACCGTAAGTTACGTATAAACATCTCTTGGATATTTGTCAAATTAATTGTCAATTAATCCAAGAGATGTTTATACGTACCGGACGGGAGATATATTGTACTTTGGTTGTTTTGCCCGTTCTTGTTTTATCACCTGAAGGGCGAAATAATATACCTGTTTACTTCGCCCTTATTTTAGATAGTCCATTTTTTCTTATATATATATTTTTTTCTTATTTCGTCCGTCTCTTAAAACAGATATATTTTAACAAACGGACAAACTAATTCATTTTTCTTATTTCGACAGCGACGGGCGAAATGGAAACAGCTAAAAAATTAATTAATTATAAATGTGTTCATTTATCGTTAAATAAAGAAAATAATTCTATCTTTTTAAAGTCTTTTCCGATTATTTGGGTCTTAATGTCGAGAAAGACTACAGAAGCTTACAGATCAGTCTTCAGAAAATTAAAAGACATGATTCCAGAATTTCAAATTCATGAAGCAATGACTGACTACGAAGTGGCATTGCAGAGTGCCTTACGCGAGGAATTCCCGGGAATAATTGTTCACGGATGCCACTTTCATTATTGTCAAGTAAATTAATGTTATTTTTGTTAGTCTTATGCTATTGATGGTTATCACTGCAATTGAAAATTATAGTCGTTTATAATATTTAAAATGATTCTTAATTGACAACAGTGTTTTGTAGGTTATTTTTTCAAATAATATGAATTATTTTTTTAGTCTTTCAAATTCAATAAACTGATTCATTACGGTATAATGTTATAAACCTTCTGCTCGCTAAAATTTTTTTATAACTTTAAAAAGAAAATAATTTTTAAATTAAAATGGTTATTAATGTACTTTCCCTAGCGTATCGGAAATTTCATGAATTTTTGATATTTTTTGACCATTCATTTGTAGTTTACTTATTTTTTTGGCATTATAAAGTATTTCCATCATCATTTTATAAATTCAGAACTTTAAAATATAGCGTCAAGTGCCAGCGGACAATAGTGTGAATTTGCTAATCTCCTATTAATCTCTTAAAATTCACTGAATTTCCAGTCCGCCATGGTTAATATATATCCAAAGATTTTATAAAAATAAATCAGTCTGTTGCCCCCCCATCACCTGAAAAATTAACAAATATTTATTTGTAATTTTCGAAATATTTAATCGCAAAGTTTAGTGAAAATTATGTAAAAAATTTAATGTCCCAGTCAAAGAAATATTTGGCGCCAAACTTTCCAGAATATTTTAACTGAATTTTACACCAAGATATATGTAGGCGAAAAATTCAGTTCAATGTTCAGGAAATTTTAGCGCCAAATATTTCTTTAACTGGGACATTAAAATTTTTACACAATTTCCACTAAATTTGCGATTAAATATTCCAAAAATTGCAAATAAATATTTAATAAATTTTCAGGTATTTTCTGGTGCTGTGGGGATGGTAAAATTAAAATGACACTAAAAATATTGCTCTTCAGTAATGATAATGTCAATTCTAGTAAAAAAAAAAGAATTATCTGATAATAATTTTTTTTTAATTACCAAAACACTTACTGAAAAGCATAATTTTTAGTTTACAATGATGGTGTCAATTTATAATTTGCAAATTAATTTTTTACCAATTCGTTCAAAATTTTACAGTATATCTATCTTAAGAGATCTCAAATTTCATTCCCTATAATAATACAATTAATAATTTTGCCACTAGAATTAAGATCACGTTTAATTAGAATTTCCGTTTACCACATGTGATAATGCATTACTTTATACTTTTAGGCATTATATCGGAGTGCGGTTCGTTATGGATTAAAAAACCATTTGAGGAACAATGCAAACATTCGTCATGTGATTTCATTGCTAATGTCACTAGCATTACTACCTGCAAATTTAGTGGTACCTACTTACAATCAGATTTGTGCTTCTTTGACGGCACAGACGAGAGGGATTCTTCGTCGATTCCTCAATTATTACGCTCGTCAATGGCTGCGAAAGGTTACACCACAAACGTTCAGTGTTCATATGTTGGTCCATCGTACAAATAATTATTTGGAAGGGTACCACACCACCCTGAAAGAAAGACTTGGCATTCATTCTGCAACATGGAATTTTACAAGTAAAATTTATAACAAACGATTTAATATAAAAAGAAATGTCTATTATAATTTTGGTCAGAATTTTTCAAACGGATTAACTAAAATGTTTTAAAAAGTATTTTCAATGTAAAAACATTTTTATACGTAATACGATTAAAACGTCTTTTTAAAATTATTAGAGGAAAATAACTTTTATTCGACTTATTAAAAATTTATTTTTTTACAGTCTTAAATAAAAAAATTCATTAATATCCGGTTTATCATTAACAAAAATCAACGAAAGGTTTATTGCCTTTAACAAATAATTTTGTTTTCAATCATTTTTATTTTTAAATTGTTTACACATAAGCTAATAATAAAAAAATTATATTCTTCATGTCTCATTAAAAATTTGAATATTGTTCTATATTCCATATTCATATTTTAGTATAAAATCGTTGAGAAAAAAATTCACTGAATTTAAAAAAAATTTTTAACCATTAAATTAAAAAAAAAATTAAACAACAATTATTAATGAATCAAAACGTACTTACTCATTTAAACTGTTACAGGAGATTTGATAAAATTTCAAGAGAGCCTCCAAACGGATTTGAAAGCTCTTGAGCAAGGATTCTCCATCACCAGGCTTCCGAGAGTTGTAAATGTTCAGAAACAGAGGTTACTCCTAAACGCGTGGTCAATTTTACATGATAATGGATTCACACCAATGCAGTTTTTGGAACACGTCTTATCATATAGACTAAATATCGCTGAAGCCTATTTCATATTATATTCTGCAAATTGATCCACTAGACCGACAGAGGATTTTTCACTTCTCTTCATCGCGTGTATCGATAAATAGAGAAACAATGTTTTAAAATTTTTTTAACTTTCTAAAAGTTTGACACTTTTTGTTCGTTCGTTTAATGTTTTATTCTTGCAAAACTGTATTAAAATTTTTTTAAATGTCGACGTTTTTTTAATGTTTTGAAAGTTGAAATGAACAAAATTTTTTTTGGCTTAGATATTTTTCAAAATTTTTTACTCTATAGAGGAATACAAAATAAATTTTATTAACGATAAGCATTTGACTTTCTTAATATAACAAGCAATCATTTGTGATGAAATTTAAATTCAAGTGGAGACCGAGACGACATTTGCATCTCTGTATATAAATGAATTTATTTATTTTTCTGGAAAAACATTTTTAAATAAACTTTTTTTGCGAGAAATTCAATAGTAAAAATTTTTTCCACTAAATTTTTTTACCATTGAATTTCTCGCAAAAAATGGTATAAAAAAGATTTTCTCTAAAATTTTAATAAATTTATTCATATAGTTGCAAATGTTGTCTCGATATCGCCTTAAAAGAATAGCAAAAAAATTTCGTCCATTTCAATATTCAAAACTTAAGCGATTAAATTGAACTAAATTGAATAATTTAGTTTTTCATCGCATTGAATTCACAGACACTTTCGCTGTCATGTCAGCGAGTTTTCGAATCTCGTTATCGCGTTTATCAATCGAAAACAAAAATGTTTTTTTAGCTTTTTATAAGTTTGATACTTTTTCGTCCTTTCCCAGCGGACAAAAGATCATTATTGTTTTTAAAATGTTCTAAACAGTTTTCGGGAGTATTTTAAAAACAAAGACGATTTTTGGACGAAAGGATTAGTTTCTTACATTTTAAATTTTCTTGTAGTAATTAATAAATAAATAACTTGAGTTATTTAAAAGGGACACATTCAGGCAATGTGACTTAATTATGATTATAAATTGTAATTAAAAATAAAACATTTTAGATAGTATTTTTTTATTGTTATTAAATTATTGACACCTTGAAAAGTCAACTATAATTCTATAAAGATTATTGTCAATTACATATTCAATAATTTTAATTTATCGTATTCGTAAAAATATAAAAGAAAACCAAATCAAACGGTGATTTTCTTAATAGTAAATTTTGTTAATAACTCGTTTCAATTATTTTTTAAATGATTTTTCAGTATTTTTCTTTTAAAATATATAAGTGGATACAAAATTACATATTTTCTTGCTTTAGGACAGAGAAAAGGGGAAATCAGGTTTCTGAAAAAATTTGGATTTTTGATAAGAGAAATAAATTTAAATAATAAAAGTAAAAACAAATAATATTCACCGAGCTTTAATAAAACAGGTATTTACAACTAATAGAAATTAGTGAAAACATTGAAAAGATCTAAAGAATCTTTCATTTTTAGAAATAAAAAAACACTTTTTCATTATTTTTTTAAATCTTGCTTAAATTTTGTTCTTTAAAAAATATTTTTAATTATTTTGAAAATATTACTTCATTATTATTTAATAAATAAATAAATAATTATTTTGAACTAAAAAACAGAATAATTATAATTAGAAATCAATTACTGATATAAATTAATTTTAGAAATTTTATTATTAATAAATTCGAGCACTTACCTTGAACTGGAAAAATTCAAATGTTTCCCGCAAATCTCCTGAAGCTAACTTCACCATGGAAATGTGCACTAGCGCCTCTTGTGTTCATTTTTACGATTATCAAAACACATAGGTGGGAAACTGGCATGATAAAATTTTGTATTACAAACGAGATTTTCGCTATATTGAAATTCGTACAAGTGATAATTTGATTGAAAAGAAATTCTGTGTTATTAAAATCATGACGTATAAAAATTATTTCAAATGGAAATCCAGTTAAGTAAAATTTATATAAAATGATAATACAAAAAAATAAAAATCCTGCCACAATATATTTTTAATACATGTACATTTTGATAAATAAAATATCGTCTAAAAAAAATTATGAAATTTAAAAATCCATCTATATAAAAATTATGTTCAACAGAAAATTGATTTAACAGCAGTTGAGATTAATACAAGTTTTAATGGATAAAAATTTTGATTAATGGAAATTTGTATAAATATAAATTGTGGGACATAAAAAACTGGATAATTAAAAAAATTTCACTATAAAAATTCTGTCATAAAAAATTTTGAAAAATTAAAAATTTGGTTACGTGTTTTTGAGCCTATTAATGGAATTGACTAAATAGAAAATATATAACATTTAAAATCGACTAAGAAAATATCTGATTATAGAAATTTTGTTTGATAAAAATTCTATGCTACAAATATTTGCATAACTTTCAACTATACCATATTTAAATTTGACAAAATAATAATTTGTAGAAATTAACGTTTAGTTAAATATAAATTACTTCATACAAGAGTTAGTTGAAGTGAAAATTATGGGTTAAAACGATTCGATTAAATGAAAAATTTTACCTATAAAATGTCTATTGCATAAAATTTCGGTTAAACTGTAATTCAGTTGAACAAAATTTTACCCAAACACAATTTCTCTTTAAAAGAATTTCAGTCACATAAAAGTAACTGTTATATTAAATTCTCATCAATCAAAACTTCTTTCATTTAAAAATTAATTTACATTATTATTCGTTTTGTCATAATTCGTTTAGACAACATTTTGTTCATGTACCATTACTGATAAAAACTAATACAAAAAAACAAATAATCTGTTAAAAAGCAGTTCTACTATATAAAATTCTGTATTCTAAACTTTACATGCAATGATTTCTATGGGATCGTCATGCGCGCCACCATTGACCTTTGGTACCATTGATCCTTGGTACCATTGATCCTTGGTACCATTTATTCTTGGTACCATTTATCCTTGGTACCATTGATCCTAGGTACCATTGATCCTTGCTATCATGGACCCTTGGTACTATCGATCTTTGGTACCATTGATCCTTGGTACCATTGATCTTTGGTACCATTGATCCTTGGTACCATTTATCCTTAGTACCATTGATCCTTGGTATAAATGATCCTTGGTACAATTGATCCTTGCTATCATGGACCCTTGGTACCATCGATCTTTGGTACCATTTATCCTTGGTATCATTGATCCTTGGTACCATTGATCTTTGGTACCATTGATCTTTGGTACCATTGATCCTTGGTACCATTTATCCTTAGTACCATTGATCCTTGGTATAAATGATCCTTGGTACAATTGATCCTTGCTATCATGGACCCTTGGTACCATCGATCTTTGGTACCATTTATCCTTGGTATCATTGATCCTTGGTACCATTGATCTTTGGTACCATTGATCTTTGGTACCATTTATCCTTGCTATCATGGACCCTTGGTACCATAGATCTTTGGTACCATTGATCCTTGGTACCATTGGTCCTTGGTACCATTGATATTTGGTACCATTGATCCTTGGTATAAATGATCTTTGGTACCATTGATCTTTGGTACCATTGAACCTTGGTACCATTGATCTTTGGTACCATTGATCCTTGGTATAAATGATCTTTGGTACCATTATCCTTGGTACCATTGATCCTTGGTACCATTGATCTTTGGTACCATTGAACCTTGGTACCATTGTTCTTTGGTACCATTGATCTTTGGTACCATTGATTTTTGGTTCCATTGATCTGTGGTACCATTGAACCTTGGTGCCATTGATTTTTGGTACCATTGATCTTTGGTGCAATTGCTCCTAGGCCAGTCAATAAAGACAAAAAGTGCCAGAAATAAAACGAAAATCTTTCTGTCAGGAACTTAAATTATATTTAAATTTGCAAAAGAAAATAATTTTTCCCCAAAAAAAGGTATTTTTTACGATTTCAATTTTTTTTCGATTTTGAGCATAAAAAGGTAGAAGATGATAAAAAAAATATACCTAAAAATATGCACGAGAAACGAGATTCCGCATGGAAAGTGGACAGCCCGCGGCTTGAATATTTCTCGCGTTTCTATAGTCTCGTTATGTGCGTTTAAAAAAAAAAAAAAAAAAAAAAAGCCACGTTTTGGAGATACTGTTAGAGACAGAGAGTGTCATTTAAATTTCAGATGACAGACGAGAAAATGGAAAATCGGCTCGTCGCTTCATCTCTCTACAATACATATAATGGATTTGTTTCTTTACAAAGGATAAATTGTAGAACAATGATATCAGCATATTGACTTACAGTATATGAACAATTTTCTACATTTTTTTTTGTCTCCTTTTTTTTTACAACTCTTTGAATATAACCATATATATTTTTTTCTAAAAACCAAAATTTTTATTTCTATTTTCTATTTTTTATAATGCTTCACTGAAGTTGGAAAAAAACGCTAAATAATTGCAAAAACCTCGCGTTGTATTTCACTGATTGTTATTGCCACACGGAAAAAAAACCACAAAAAAATTTTTTTTACAAAAACATAAAAAATTCTTGCAATTTTTTTTTGCTGTAAAAAAATTTTTTCTTGTTAACAATATTTTTTAAAAAATCCAGTTTTTGTGGGTTTAGAAAAAAAAGGGAGAGAAAAAAATGTGTGATAATAACAAAATTGTAAAATCTCGCGACTCGTATTCAATAAAGTAAAATAAAATAGAGGAATGAAGAAACAAAAGATAAAGAGAAAGGGATATTTTTTCTAAACGTTGAATTCCTAAAAGCGTTTCGGTAGATATTCTGGGGGACAATTGTGATTTTTTTTTTTCATCCCGCTTTGGCTCAAAGCAACCCTATCTCAAGCACTTTCTCTCTATATATATAGGAATGAATACGACGCGAAAAGTTACGCTCGCGTAATGGAAAAATTGCTCGTGTCACTGGTACGCGACTGGAAATCAGAATCTATTAGTTTCAGCGAACTTACGAATTGAGAAAAATACTAAGAAGAATTCCTACAAAAAAAAAGATTGTAAAACAAAATTCCACTTTTTGGAAAAATAAAATTTTCCCCAATTTTTTAATTTAATTGAAAATTTTTTTTTTGAATTAAAATAATATTCAATAAATGGGGGAAAAATATAATAAGAGCGCGAGTGAAATGTCGAAATACAAAAGTATTTTTTTTTTTTTTGTATTTTTTTTTCAGGAGACATTTCAGGAGTGATGGAACGTCAATTGGGATAATGAAGTGCCCAAACCACAAATGTTCGTCGTTTTGCAGATCTGCTCTTTAGTTGCAGATCGCCAGGGGCATTTGTCGCACGTTACTGGCACGTTTCCACTGAATCTCTCTCTCTCTCTTTAGACGTTTTCCAAGATTAAATGCCGTAGCTTACGGCAAATTTCAATATATAAAACGACTCCACAAAAGAGACTTTTTGGTCTTGGAAAAAAGACATCGTTTCAAACAAACATTTATTAAAAATACTAAAAATAAACCATTCATGATTTTTTATTTGCTAAAGCAACTTTCTACACAAGATTTTCTTTTTTGCGGAAAACGAAAGTTATTTTAATATTTAACACCATTCTAGAAAAAAAAATATTTATGAAAGTTTTATTAATGAAAAAAAAATTTATTTAATTTAAATAATTAGTTACTTGACTCGAATAAATATTTAGTTGAAACTAATAATTTTTATTTATATTAAACAAACTGTATTTGAACCAATAATGTTTGTATTTAAAACAAATAAAATTTAATTAAAAATAACAAATTCTTTGGTTCAAAAAATATTTATTCATAATTATTTGTAATTTTATTATTTTTATTATTTTTATTTTTATTATTTTTATTATTTTTATTATTTTTATAATTTTTATTATTTTTATTATTATTATTCATTATTGTTTATTATTTTAATATTTTAATTACAATATAAAATAATTTGTCTGATAAAAATCGCTTTTACTACTAACAGTAACATTAAACAAGTATTTATAAGGTTTAAGAATAAATTAAATTTTTTGTCTAACTAAAACTGTCTTTTTCTACTGATACTTTAATATAACAAGGATTAATT